ATGTGGGCTCTTCTGGACGAGATGAAATAGGCGCTATCGTCCGCATATAGCGCCAGCTCAACGTCGTCCTCCCACTCTTGCAGCCTACCTGCCAGTGTTAGGATGTCGTTAGTATAAGCCGCGTACAGGACTGGAGACAAACAGCTGCCCTGTGGAACGCCGGCTCTGATGGATCTTGTTGCGGACTCGGCGTCCTCTACGCAGACGTAGAACTTCCTGTCTCCCAGGAAAGACGCCACTAGCCGCAACATAGCAAGAGGGACACTGGTCTGTTCGTGTAGCTTGTAAAGCAATCCTGAGTGCCACACCCTGTCGAACGCCTTCTCAATGTCGAGAAAGACGCCCAACGATATGCGGCCACGGTTGTACTCTGCCGCAAGCAGGTGCAGTACTCTAGTCAACTATGTGACTGTAGAGTGACCCCTCCTGAATCCGTGCTGCTCCGCCCGAAGTTGGATCGGACGTCTTAGCAGCAATCTGTCTAGCAGTTTAGCTATGTGCGGTAATAGCGTGATCGGCCTGTAGCTGGCAGCTCTACGCCTGTCCTTCCCGGGTATCGGCAAGACGATAACTCTGCCTTTCTTCCAGTCCTCCGGGAAGTGGGATGTCCGCAATATCCCATTGTAGAGTCGACCAAGCTCTACTAGGACTCTATTGGGCAGCTGTTGGAGTGCAGCGTTGGTAATCCCGTCGTGCCCCGGCGCCTTCCTCGGTTGCAGGCGGGTTACTGTCCTCCGCAGTTCAGCGGGGGAAATGAACCACTCTCCTGCAAGCGGTGGCGCGGGCGACGACAGGAACTCCTGTACGCGACTTTCCTTCCGGGCATGAAGCTCCATGAACTCCGCACTTGCTGGGTTCGGCATAAATTGCTCCTCGAAGTGCTCAACTAGGATATCCGCTCTGTCCTTGGCATCGTAGCAACGTTCACCCGCGCTGTTGGTCAGCGAGCAAACGGAAGGTCTGGTTTTGATCAACTGTCGGTTCAATTTGTAGAGCGACGCGTCGTGTTCTTCAGCTTTCCATATGCGCCGCTCCCAGGCCTCTCCTCTGTAGGCCTGGTGTTAAGTTGCGTTTTTAGTCTAGGGCAGCGAGTACGCGCCCAGAGCTTCCTCAACGCTCTCTTGCGCCTGATCTGCACGCATATCTCTCGCGGCAGATCGTCTCGCCTTGCAGTGATCGGGACGATCGTAGAGGCCGCGTGGAGGGCCTCCTGGATGTTCTTGGTAATTCTAGTAGCAGCGGCCTCTACGTCGTCCGCTGTGCTTATAGGATGGTGGACTGGAGGTCTCTACTGCAGATGTTGACAGTAGAGCCTCCAGTCGACACGTGTCTTGAATGCTCTGGGCGGCGTAGTCACCGCCTTTAGGCCAAGGGTGATCAGAATCGGGAGGTGCTGTGAATTCAGGTCGTACAGCACCTCTACCACTATCGGGTAGTTGACCTTCCTAGAGAGCACGATGTCCAATACATCCGGACGTCTCCGTAGATCTGTCAGAACGTGTGTTGGTTCTTCGGGACCTAAAACGTCGTAGTTGTTTTTCTCCGCGTCTTCGTAAAGTTCATGACCCGGCGGGTTGATCACTCTGGATCCCCACGCCGGGTGTTTGGCGTTTAGGTCCCCAGCGATAATGGTTGGTGTTTCGCCTTCCATTACCTTCCGGACGTCTGAGGAGCAGAATGGAGTCCCTGGCGGGCGGTATGCTGCGTAGATCCTTAGTTCCTCGCCCGCCGCCTCCATTTTTATACCGATAGAGCGCATTGTCTGGTATACAGGTAAATCCAGCTCTTGATGGACGATGTCCCTCCTCACTAGAACCGCCGTCCCTCTATAGGCGGCCCCTTGAGAAATGACCTCGTTCCCTTCTGTATAGATGGTAATTTGGCAGCTTAATATGCGTCTTGGGGTTTAGCTTAGTCTCTCCCAGCAAGATGACATGGAAGTCCTGTTGTTGGGCGACTGTGCGGAGCTCATGCAGCTTCTGCTGTATTCCGTCCGGGTTCCAATAGAGGAGGCGCAGATTACTCTCCTCTGTAATGCCGGGCCAGGAGGTTTGCCAGCGTCTTCATTACCGCCGTTATCGGATCCGCCCCGGCTCTTATATCGGCCAGGACTTGGCTGCCGACCTCGATGGCAATGCCAACCAGACGTTGGATGGCATCTGCTGTCTCGAAGCCGGTTGTAGGTGTTCTCCTGTGTGAAGGCGTTGGCACTTGTCTCGGGCGTTGATCTTCTTGCACTCTTTGCTTGTGGGTAGAGCGCGCTCTATATGTAGAGCGGGCTCTATTTTCTGATAGAGCCCTTTCTGGCACTCTACCCACACTCTTCTTAGGTAATTCGTGAGCAACCTGCGCCTGTGAGGCTACTGGTCCTGCTGGTGTCGGGGTAGAGGTGACAGCCTGAGGAGGCTGCGACTTCTTCCTACTCCTCGTCCGCTTCCTCCGTCTGGAGGTCCGCCGTTTTGTGGCGGGATTAGCGGGAGGCTGTAGAGTCGCCCCGGTGGTTGCCCTTTCCTCTACGGGTTCCACCGTTTCCATGGGTGTTACAGGTGGGGGGAGGGGCTGATTGCCTACCCTTCCCTGTTACGGTAGCCCACCCGTCCTTCTGGATGGTTACCGCTTTTGAGCGACTCTGGGGGATCCTTTTCGGGTCCTCCGGGAGTAGTCCCGGCAAAGTAATCCCCTGCCTCCTAGCAGTTCTCCTCAGGACTGGGCAGCGGCGATCGTTTGATCGTTTGCCGTGTGGTTTTTGCCACAGTTGGCACATTTGGGTTCCTCTTCCCTACCCCGAGGGCAAAGCGCACACACTTCACTGGCCTGAAGCAGTTGGCGGATGCGTGCCCGAAAGCCTGGCAGCGGTGGCATTGTGCTGATCCTGCTTTCCTCTGCCAGGCCTGGATGACAAGCCCTCTCATGTAGAGGAGTCAGTCTCGTCAGTTTTATAGAGTTCCTGGAGCTACTCCAGGCTCAGGTGGTCAAATTGGGCAAAGTAAAGTGTAATCGCCTTAACAAATTTGATGGGGAAGCCTTTTGCCCTAATAGCCTCTTCTATGGTTTTAGTGTCCGTGCCCATTGATAGACCCCGGATGCCCACTTTAGTGGGCTTGTCCTCCTCCGGGGTATAGCAATACCACGACAATGACGGTGTCTCTTTCGAGAGTTCAACCATATACCGCTGGACGGTTCTGAACTCTTCGGCGCATTGAGGTGTAAAACGTACGCCCTTCCCGAACGGACGGGCATTTGGAGGGTGGCCCAACTTTCTGTTGAGCTCCTTAAAATGCCTCGTCCAGTCCGGGAGGCATTCAGCCACTATGGGCGGGTATCTAGTTTCTGTTTCTTCTGGTTCCTGGTCGGCAGGCTTATCAGCAGGCGCTGCCGCCGGTTGCGGTCGTGGTACTGCTGGTGCTGCTACCATATGGGCATAACTGGTGGATGGCCGTTGGACATCGTCTTGTGGGAGCCTGGACGGATTGGTTATCTGCGCCGGCGATGATCGGCTGGCAGATGCTGCAAGGGTCGCATATGTGGTGGACCCCCAGCTATAGGATTCTTCACCCTCTGCTCGTACTGGGCCGAATCATGGCTACGCCGGTCCGGTGACATGGAGCGGGGGGGTTGCGGTGGTGAAGGCGACTTTGGTGGTGACTTATGCACCGTCTTCGTAGTCGCATGGTGATGGTCTTCATCCTCCGATGAGGATGTTGGTACATCGGAGAAAGATAGGTTGGAGCCGATTCTTTGCCTCTTTTCAAACAAAGAGGCCTCGGTCTCGGGTGGAGTGTGGCGTCTGGCCGTTTTCTTCGCCCGCTGCTGCTGGGGCGACGGTTCCTGCCTGACCGTGTGCTCAGACACGGCCGGCGTGAGCGCGACGCCCGGTGCGGGCTCCTTCCGCGGTGAGACGGGTTTTCTTGTTAGGATCTGCAAGAAGGATGACACTATTCTAGTGCGCTCCGGATTCGCTAGATCCCTAATAACTAGTGGTCGTTCTAGGACTCCTTTCTTGTCTGGTGGTATTCTTGACTTAGGGGGTGGCTCCCCCTTATCCTTACCTGACATGGTTCCCTACCTAACTCAGTCAGTGGTAATCAGTCTAGGCCCTATGTAAACAACCAGCCGATCGATAACGGATGGTGATGCGCGACGCGGATTGTGGGGATGATGACATTTGACTTACACACTATGGGCACTGCCTACCCCTTTCCTAATGAAAGGGTTGGGGGAAGTGCAAATGGTGGCACTCGAAAACGCGACTAGGCACTAATAAAACTCGAACGTTTTAGAGCGCCTAAGAATCTACCTAGGGGCCGGTGACCTCGACGCCTCACGGAATCAGCGGACTCGACGATCGGCGGAGTATGTCATACCGGCGGTTGTATGTGCTCACTGCTAAACACAAACAACGCACACCTAGGAGATTCTTAATTCCCCTAGTGTAGAAACTGTTCGTAGGCGGCGGTCGACACTTACCATCAGGTGAGCCGCATGTTGTTTGCCCTCTCTTCTATAAAAAAAAATATTTTACTTATATAATGTAGTTACTTCTAATGCGGTTTGTGAATATTTACAACGAAAAGTAGTTACCAAGAAACCATGTATTTAAATAGTTTTGAGAGTATTTCTTGACAGAGCATTTAATAGAAACCCACGTGGAACCGCATTTAGATATATGTACATACGTATCCTCGGAAGAATAATATCTCAGAGCAACATCTGAGCAAAACGTATCGTATAAATAATTATCTATGATACGTTCATTGATTTATATTATTCTGTATACCAATATTTATTAGAAGATTAGAAGAATAATATAATTGTCAACGTCACATCATTCACAATGTCACATAAAATGTAACGATCCAGATTTTAGTAAGATTTTACCCATAAAAATCCAAGATGAATTTGCGTCTCTTCCCAGTAAATCTGCCGTCTGACTTTCTGAAAGCTTTAGGAAAAAACTGTGATCGGAAATGCCTGCTCTTTAACTTTGTAGTAAACTTATCATGACCGAACTGAAATCGACTATCTCTGAAGAAAATACGTTGGCTTCTAAGGGATATAAACTAATAAAATTTTTAGGAGAGGGTGCTTATGCTAAGGTAACAAAATAGCCTCGTACGTTAAAAAATAACAAATAGGTAAAAACATATTGGTATGGTTAAAATTTAAATTAGTTTTGTACTCAATACTTTTGTTATTAACAGGTTTATTTAACTGAATACTCAAGAGAAGAAAATAAAAAATGTACACTCGCTTGTAAAGTGATTGAAACTGCTAAAGCTCCAAAAGATTTTGTCGTCAAGTTTTTGCCTCGAGAAATAGATGTTCTCATAAGACTAAATCACCCCCATCTAATTCACGTGCACAGCATTTTTCAAAGGAAAACAAAATATTATATTTTCATGAGATATACAGAAAATGGAGATCTTTTAGGATACGTTTTAAAAAACGGATGCGTCTCAGAGAACCAGTCACGAGTCTGGTTGCGTCAGTTAGCTGTAGGTTTACAATACCTTCACGAATTGGAGATTGCTCACAGAGACATCAAATCCGAGAATGTCCTTTTAACAGCTAATTTTAACGTTAAGCTTTCGGATTTTGGTTTTTCAAGATTTTGTACTGACGACGACGATCAACCGATTTTAAGCGAAACCTATTGTGGATCGATGTCATATGCAGCGCCGGAGATATTACGGGGCAAACCATATTTACCAAAACCAACAGATTTGTGGTCATTGGGAGTAGTTCTGTTTGTTATGTTGAATAAGTCGATGCCATTTGATGATACTCGCATGAAAAAGTTGTATGAGCAGCAGATGGGCAAAAAGTATAGGTTTAGATCGCGTGTGGCGAGTGTTCTATCTTTGGAATGTAAATCAGTTGTTAAACATCTTCTGGAACCCGATCCTGGACTCCGCTACACTTCGAATCAAGTAATTAAGTCTGAATGGATTGCTATGGACAGTAGACTTACTAGTAAGCCTTTTATTTAATTTGTAAGTTTGAGATAATTCAAGATTTTAATAGCAATAATGAAAATTAATAGAGTGCAGACAAATAACATTATAAACTACTTACAGCGTTAAATGCTATCGAAGAAGCTGCTTTAAACCGAGCTAAAGAAGAACGTAGAAGATTGACAGAGTCACATAAAAATCTAGCAAAACGACAGAGTGATATTTGGGAGCGGACTCACAGAGATTCTTCGTACAGAGTAAAAAGCTTTTAAATAAACGATTACTCGCTTATTTCGTACTTATGTTACTATATTTATTTATATTTTTTTTTCCAGGCTAGTGAAATGATAAAGTCCTTGGCCAGTATCACAGCAAAGCAAAAACGAGAATAAATGGAGGATAAATCCAAGGTAAACAAAATATTTCGCCGTTGATTAAAGCTCGTAATTATTTTTCGATTTACGCGTTTTATTTTTCCACCACCAGATCTTGGAAAATGACTTAAAACTCTCAGGCTCTGAACAATTTACATTGGCCATTCGTGGTTATAAAATTATAAAGAAAATTAATGAAGGATCCTATGCAAAGGTATAAATTAGGTATTTTATAGATATACTAAATAAAAAGTATTTTTATATACTTACCATTTGACTATTTTAGGTATACCTCTCGGAATACAGAAATCCAAATAAAAGCGGTAAACTTATACTTTTAGCCTGCAAAGTAATTGACACAAATACCGCCCCAAAAGATTTTGTTAAAAAGTTTCTACCAAGAGAAATTGATATGTTGATAAAACTAAATCATCCGCATTTGGTGCACACGCATAGTATATTTCAGAGAAGATACAAATATTTCATTTTTTTAAGATATATGGAACACGGAGACTTGTTAGACTATATATTGCAAAATGGCGCAGTACAAGAGGACCAAGCTAGGATTTGGACTAGACAATTATCGCTTGCGATACAGTACATGCACGAATTAGAAATAGCGCATAGAGATATCAAGTGTGAAAACGTTTTGTTGACTGCGAACAAGAACGCAAAACTATCGGACTTCGGTTTCGCCCGCATGTGTGTCGATAAAAAAATGAAGGACGTACATAGTGAAACGTTCTGTGGTTCTCTATCTTATACTGCACCAGAAATCTTACATGGCAGCCCTTATTATCCAAAGCCGACAGATATATGGTCGTTGGGTATTGTGGTATACGTCATGCTGAATAGAGCAATGCCCTTCGAAGACAAGCACATTAAGCAGTTGTATCAAGCACAAATAAGTAGTAATTGGAGATTTAGATCGCGCTATAACGATGTCCTTTCCGATAACTGCAAACGTTTGATCTCTTTAATGTTAGAGCCAAAATACCAAAAAAGAATAAAAATCGAGCAGATTATAAGTAGTGAATGGATTGCTATGGATTCGAGATTATTAGGTTAGTTTCAATATCCTATTAATTCACATAAAAGTAAACTAAACATTCAGCCCATATACGTTCCCCGGCTGGGCACGGGCTTTCTCTCATTTCTGAGAGGGTTTTTGGGCAATGGAAAGTCCGCCGCGATACCTCAGTGCGTGTTGGCAGACTTTCACATGTCTTCGATTTTTTTTAATTTCTTAGAGATGCAGATTTATTAAGGTGAAGTGGGCGCCAAAAGCAAATTTTTCACGCTTGGTGATGGGTGCGCAGAAAATCAATTTTTTGTCATTAAAAACAACGAATTCAATTTTTTTATATTCACTATAAAAGTTAAAGCTTTTTCTTAGTGAATTATAGTTGCCAAAACACGATTGACACATTTTGGCTCGATAGAAAAAGATCGCAAAGTTTCCTCAAAATCTACAATTTTAGGTGCGTCCACTAAGTGAAAAAGCAGTTTCATTCGAATGTAATGAAATCAATTTCAATTAATTCAGGTTATGTGTTTACCAGTATTTAACGTGAGTGAATTATGGATTTATTTTTCAATAAAATAATATATATCATTTAAAAAAAAATATCAAATAAATATTGTGTGATTAAACAGCGCGCGGGCCAACCAAACAGGCTCGCCAGTCGTCCGCAGCGCGTCGTAGAGAGCGCCCGTGTACAACTTTAACACGCTCGCTGTTGTCGTAACGTAACAATATATTTAAAAAATATTGATAACCGTGGTATGCCATTGAGAGGTAATTAAAAATTAGGCATCCAAACCGGTTTGAATGCCTTCCTTAGTCCTAGTATCCACTCAAACAGTGAGCTAGTAGCAAGTAATAAACATGTAAATACAGGTACTAAGAATGTTTATAAAACAAACTAATAGTTCCCTTATAGTCATACCTATAACTAATAGTTATAGGTATGACTATGAGGGAACTCGTATGTTACAGATATACTTTGATAAAGTGACGGCTCCGCGGCGCACTGGCTTGGCAATGAGCTGGCTGCGCTAGGAGCCGCGGGTTCGAATTCCGCATTGTTTTTGTTGTTGTTTCTTGTCTGGATGTTAGTCCTCGTGCAATTTATGTTTGTAAACTGCCTCCACGATACAGTAGAAAATCCTAGTGTGGGGGTAACGTTATAAAAATACTGATAAAAAACACTTGAGTGTGCCTAGGCTGCCTAGTTTATTTTTATGTTAAAAGTAATTCATCATTATTTTATTTGCACATCATCGTCCAAGACGCTTGGAATAAAAATTTATAAAACTAAATATTTGTTGGTACTTATTAGTTTACAAGAAGCATATTGGACGACAGGAAATTGTTAATTGCAATTTTAAGTGCTGATTTACCATGTGCTCGGCAGTTAAGGAAAACATCGTGAGGAAACCTGCATGTATGAGGAATAAGAAAAAAAATTATTTCGAAGACATGTGAAGTTCGCCAACACACACTGGGGCAGCGCAGCGGACACTTCCGTTTCCTAAAACCGTCTCAAAAATGAGGGGAGGCTTGTGCCCAGCAGTGGGACGTATAAAGGCTGTAACTTTACTTTTACATTGGACGATAGTGTCCAAATAAAATAATGATGAAGTACTTTTCAACGTGAAAATAAACTAGGTACATACCTCAGTAGGTATGTAGTTTATTTTCATGTTGAAAAGTAAGTATACGTCGACTCGTAAGTAAGCATCTATAGGCATAGGTACGAGTCGTATCATGTTGTACCTGTCTATAATATACTTATAGGTATCGCCACACGAGAAGGCTCTTATGGTGCACTCAATTATTATCTGAAACTATTTTATAAATAAACGCTGGTTATATCAATCAATTACAATATATTTGTACACTACGTAGATGTATTCAACTCGTCATTCGTTCATTCGTCATTCAACTATCCGTAATACATTACAATATATCGATATTTATCACATGAATATATCGATACTGTTTAAAAATATCTATACTATATATATCATATAGTTTTTCACTTGCCCATCCCTACTCGTCGCTATTGCCCCATGAGTAGATAAACGGAATATTGCTAGCAGCTAGCCGGACGCGCGACTGGGCTCCACGCGCCGATCGTCCGCCCTCGTCTGCTTCACCCCCTTGAAACCTACGTGAATACGATACCATTTCGTCTTAACGGTGTTATCCTTCACCGCCGGGCCGCCATTGTCAATCAGCTTTGTGAAATTTTCAGCAAAAGCTAAGCGTCTGAGCTACCACATTTCAGTTTATTCATTCACATACTGTCTATTTCATAAAAATAATGCAATATATACATTTTCACATAGAATGGACACCACAAGAAAGACTAGCTTACAAAAAGGCTAAAGAAGAAAGGAGTCACCTTCAAAAGAAATCAAGAGAGTTATTAGTAATGGAGACGGATTCTTTCTTACCTGGAAAATCTCTAGTAACCAATACGCTTGACGCCACAGCATCTACATCTTCATGGTATTAGCAGTATTAAATATTAAATAATTTTGGTAGTTTTTATGGTTTATAAACTTTACAACCATCAAAATATGCTAAGTTTTTTATTCTATTATAGCCCATTACAAGTTCAAAGCTATTTTTACCAATTGACGACAAGTAGATGGTGTGCCCTATAGACACATTATTTATTCTATCCTCGATTACGAAACAAAATCTGAGTGCCTCAAGCAGGGAAACATAATATGCTGCTGATTTACGCTGATTATCTATAAAAAAAGTTCTTTTCCTCTTGAGCCAACCTCCCTTAAAACGGCTGGAAAGTGACTCTTCAACATACACAGGTGTTCAGTATAAATAGTAGCAGAATTCGGTCTTGAGATATATCTGTATCAAGTACGTATATAAATACGTGGTAGTCACGCTATAGCCATATTATGTTGTTGTAATAATAATGTTACGAGCTTATGGTTCGTGACAATAAAAACTGCCGATTGAATTACCAAAATTAACACTTTAATTCACTTTACACTAATTAAACCTAAAAGACACTAATAATTAATCACACTGATTCACTTTACTTCGCCCCGAAACTTCGCTTATCTCACCAAATTCAATACTGCCCCGATCTCGGCATGCAGCGGGTTTAAATACACATTTTCTACCGAAACATCCAGAATATTCCCGTAAATACGTGTGCCGAACGACCAGGCGCAGAAAGTTCGAGTGTGGGGCTTCTAGAAAGCTTAATTCTTCTGTTCGATACTAGATGGCGCTGTTGGTTGAAAGATTAGTCATGGCATTTTCTGGAAAGCTCTCCTCGCTCTGTTACCCGACACTAGATGGCGCTAGTGCCAGGTACTAGCCGTCAACTTAGGCGCGCAACAATAAGTCGTCTCCTTTTTTACTGTAAACTAGGCATTCCATCTAAGTCCTTAGAGCCGACAACGCATCTGTATTTTGATTTTTAATCAAGAATAGATGTAGATATCTATAAGCCTCAGCAACAGCTTACCAAGCAGGGGTCGCTTGGCGGATAGACCGTACATATATTTTTATAAAGAAATATAAATCGCAAAATAGCTAATTTAGAGAAAAAAAATTTTTATTCAATATTTGCTGCAAAAAGATACATGACTTTCTAAATTTAATTTGTTACTGACAGTTTCCCCAATAACTTTAGATAGGTATATTCCGTACGAATAAAGAATGGGATTTAAAATGTCATCTCATCGAGTCCGTACCGTCAACATGCACAGCACCAATAACGAAAACTCGCAAATAACAATATATCGTTTTAACTTATAACGTTATATTATTCGATTAATTGGGAATTTCCTATTAATGGGAAAATATTTGAATAGTATTTTATACGCGAGTATGTACATTAAATTTAAAATAACGTTTATAACTAGCGACTCGCTCTGATTTCGCCTGGGTGGAACCTATTAATGTGGCGTTGTATAGACTTAAGATAATCATTTTATTTTATCCTACCAATATTTCTATTTTAATAAAGTCTCAAAAACTTTCGAATTAAATTTAGTCTAGATCACTCCTGGTATTATTACTCTGTTTGATCGTGAAGTTTTATTACAATAGGTTCAACCATTCCGAAGATTATCAGACAGACAGACCAATGAAATTTTAAAAAATGTTAACAAACGAAATCAACAATAATTATGAAGAAAATGCTCAGAACGCGTTTAGCTCACAAATTAGCGATACCGGGCTGACTTTTTTTGTAGTTAATGACACTTTGTTATCACTGATTCCAATGACAAGTTGGTCTGAAGGGATGTACGAAAAACGCATATCGCAACGTAATGTCGAATCGCAAGTCGAAATCGCAGTCTTTATCGGCGGGTGTGAGTGTAAATAGCGAGAGTGTGCAAGCGAGAGATGAATACGTAGGTCACTCAATAAGTTTTGAGATGCTCGATATTTAAAAATGGAGCGCACTAGTGTTATATGTTTCTAAAAAGCAAATTTATTTAAGAATAGAATTCCATAAGCCAATTGCTCAGTATATAAAAAAAAAAAAAAACAAAGTTCTATTAATTTTCCTGCAACGCTTCCCGCGCTTTTCATTTAAAACGATGTGATCCATGATGATTTTAAATTTGGTTTAACCGTACAATTAAGTTTACAACGGTTACGATCAGTAACCTAAAGTCCCCTAGGACTCAGCTCCATCACGCGCAACAATTTTTAGGTGGTTTGCTGAATTCAAAAGGGGTAAAATTAACCTTAAATATGACCAAATAACCGGGGCCCCGCAAACAGCAGTAACGACAGTAAATGTATGGACTACTGAAATGTTGGTGCGAGAAGATCTACGAATCACATATACGGACATCGAAAAGATTGTAGGCATTAGTTCGGGGAGCATTCATACCATCCTACATCAACATCTTGGAGTGAGGAAGCTTTGTTGTCGATGGATCCCTCGTTTGCTCTCTTGAAAGCGAAAAACAGACTCGTGTGGATTGGTGCCACGAAATGCGTATGTTTTGAAAACGGGGCGTCTAGGCGTGATTCAGAAATCATAACTGGTGACGAGAAATGGATGTATCAATATAATAATAATATAATGTCCTCCAGACCGAATTTCGGCCACGGCGGCCTGCCTCGGCGCAGGACAGGATTATAGTGCCCAAGTGTATGCGCAAGCACAGGTGCACTCTCTATTCCCTCACTCTCATAATCCGATGGCGAATCAGGCGCAGGACCAACGGCTTTACGTGCTTTGCGAGGCACGGGGATGAGGACACCTCTAACTTCCTGACTCCGGGCAACTACTGAGAATTTCTTGACGAAAATACTCAATAATTAATTTTTTGGCCCGACACAGGATTCGAACCCAGTACCTCATGATCAGCAGTCGCACTACTACAACCACTAGATCAACGAGGCAGTCAATCTCAAAATCAAAAAATCTATCAATATAATACGGAAAATAAAAGGCTATCCTCGGTATGGGTCTACTCAGAAGGACAGTTACCGACAAAACAACAAAGACCTCGCAACGTCGGCAAAAAAATGATAGCTAGTTTTTTTCGCAGAGCGGACATTTTTCGACGTTAATGCTGGAAAATTGTAGGTCAGTCAACTCTGAATTGTATACTACAATTGCATTACCCGAAGCTTTTCAAACTGTACGGGAGATAGAGTAGAAAGATAGAATAGACGAGAAGTGATTTCCTACCTGTCAGATCAAGGCTGGCAAAAGTGTTTTAGTTGGTTTAGGCGAATGGAACTTTGTATAAATTAAAATAGAAAATATTTTGGAAAATTGTAAAATAAATATTAATAGTATCTAGAATACTTTTTGTATATCTCAAAACATATTGAGTATACAGCGATAGAGGCTATGCCATTTTCAATCCCATTCTTTAACCGCACGGGTATATAATATGTATAACTTATCTTTCTCATTTCAATTATAACATTAATTTATGCCGCTTGTAGAGACGGGGAAGTCCAGTGGCGAGTGATGTTAAACGGAGATACGAAGTCTAGACTTTATTGTACGATACGTTACACTTTACAATAATGAGCTGTACTTCGCACCTACAGAAAGCTTGCAACTTCAAGTTCCTCAAGGGAAGCAGAGGTTTGCCATCTCTGTAGGAGGAGGCTAGGAGCGCTTTTCCTTGACACTTAAATATACTATCCCGCCAAGTGCAAGCAGCTATCTTACGGTCTACGATTCCCAAGTGTAACTATCTTATCAAGAAGTAGGCTTCGGACCTTGGATAGTAAATCGGGGTAAAGTTTTTTGGTGCGATTGATCAAAAGTTTAGCGCTATCTAGATTGGTTTGTGAGAACTAATGATGTAATTTTACAAGCTTAAATTGATTAAACACAATTCTATTTTATTTTTAAGTCTTGTTATCATAAGTTTTGATGACGTACCTATGTTATTTTCAGAATCAAGCATTTAAAAAGAATCAAGAAAGTTATATTTCTATAGGATATGCAGAATTAAGATAAAAAACACAGAACTCTAAAAATTAATAAATAACATAAAACGTACATATATGCTTTAATTTCTCCCTCTTCTTTCCACCATCGGACAACAAGGCGGAGGGCGGATCTTCACCCCTTTGTTGTCGATATTTCACACATTAGAACCAAACGGTTTGCTTCGTCTTTTTTACATCAAAGGATTTAAATAATTTGCCGGCGTCTATCTTTCCGTCCGAATACAATCTAGGAGTCTTCAAGGAAAGAATAGGCATTTGTTACGCTAAGAGCTAAGACAGTGCGGTTTACCATCAAGGGCTACCACCACCACTTACCACCAGGTGGGGTTGTGGTCAAGCAATGGCTTATAAGCAAAAAACCTAACTGTTGTTTAGTTGAACATATTATGGTTCATAAAAGATAGCTTGATCTCTGCGACAGCTGTCAGTAAAAATCACGCCTATGAAGTCCTGAATTTCTTAGTAGTACAGACAGTACCTGTCAATGTCATACTATATGGGCGTGCACTAATTAGATCGGCATGCCCATAAAGTATGACATTGACAGGTACTGTCTGTACTACTAAGAAATTCAGGACTTCATAGGCGTTATTTTACTGACAGCTGTCGCAGAGATCAAGCTATCTTTTATGAACTATAAGTATATCCATTTTTAATAGTAACATTTTCATATTTTATATGTTCGTTATTTTGTTGATATTAATTTTGCATTGGTATTAGACCTGTCTTTAGCTGGCAATTGTAAGCGCGAACAAACGAATCACCGACACGTGTTAGGTGATTTCATAACCATCGTAACCTTGTACTTCCGGACTTTATCATTTACCTGTTTCGCGAACAGGGTGCTTCAGAGTGATAATTTCCTTTGGTTTGTTGATACTGTTACGAGCTTGAGGTTCGTGACAATAAAAACTGCCGATTGAATTACAAAAATTTACACTTTTATAACCGAACACCAATTAAAACTTAAAACACTAATAATTAACCACACTGATTCACTTTATTTCGCTCCGAAGCTTCGCTTGTCTCGCCAAATTCAATACTGCCCCGGTAGCGGGTTGCAGCGGCTTTAAATACACCTTTTACACCGAAACATCCAGGATATTCCAGTAAATTCGGGCGCCGAACGACCAGACGCAGAAAGTTGTGGAAAAAAAAGAGTGTGGGGCTTCTAAAAAGCTTAATTCTTCTGTTTGATACTAGATGGCGCTGTTGGTCGAAAGATCAAGATTGACATTTTGATAGGAAGCCTTCCTCGCTCTGGTCCCCGACACTAGATGGCACACACGCTAGAGTAGTGCCACCATGGAGGACAGAATTGAGGAGCTTCTGAAGGACTTCAAGTACCGGTGTTCCACCCGCTTTCAGAAGCTCCGCTGTAATACCATCCTCACCTGGGGCCCTGCCATTTTTAAGGTGCTGGAGAGCCATTCTAATCTCGCTCAGACTGACGTCCGGGATATCATCGGAATAGTGTCGCATAAGACTTGCTCTTGGATCGTTACTCACACTTGCGTGTGGCTCCAACGATGATGTGTACAGTTGCCCATAGAACCTCTGAACCTCACTCAAAATCTCAGGTGTCCCGGAAACGATGCTGCCACATTCAGTCTTCAGCTTTCGCAGTTGGCTCTTTCTGGCAGAGAGATCTCTGGCAAAGACTTTGGAGCCCTGGTTCCGCTCGATCGCTTCTTTAGTACGAGCAGTATTAAAGTTGTGTAAGTCTCGCCCTATATATTCGGAGATCTGTCTGTTCAGTTAGTTGCCTGTATGCTGTCAAATCTGTTGACGATTGCAGCCTCATCTCCCGTCTAACAGCCATGAGATTAAGAGTGTGATCGGAGAGTTTTTGTGTTCTTCTGCGGCGGGTCTTGCAGAACTTAGTTCCGACCACATGGACAGTTTCCACGAGCTTGTCATTCATATCGTCCATTGCATTGCAATCTTCTAGGCACTGAAAACGATTACGTAAATCGAGCTGAAAGGTTTCGGGATTCTGGATTAGAGCACGAGGGGGAAGGAGCGTTGACTTCATTAGACAAGACATCTCCAACTTAACGTTTAGGTTCACTGTGCCTCTAACCATTCGGTGATCGCTGCCAGTTTTCACACTTGCGATCACTGAGACATCACTGAACAGTTGGCGTGTGGTCGTCATAATGAAGTCAATCTCATTTTTTGTCGTACCGTCGGGGCTCGACCAGGTCCACTTCCTGTGGGGCCGCTTCTGGAAGAAAGAGTTCATCATAAAGAGTCCCTCTTTCTCCATAAAGTCGGCCAGCTGCTGGCCCCTTCGGTTCCGTTGCCCTACTCCAAATTCCCTAACTTCAGCTCACCGTTTTCTCTTGTGCCTAGTTTTGCGTTGAAGTCTCCCATCAACACCGTGTAGTGGGTTTTGGAGGAATGCATGGCTCTGGAAATATCCTCATACATTTCCTCCACCTCCTCATCGGGATGTGCCGAGGTTGGTGCGTAAACCTGTATGACCTTCAGCGAATACCGTTTGTTGATTCTGATTATCAGGTACGGTCGCGTACCTGATACTCAGAATTTGAATTTGGGAGTGTGTCGACACCCCCAATCTTTACAACGTTATTGACGAGAGACTTGTGGACGATAAATCCGATACCTCCTTGGGACAGATGGTCGCCCTCCCGGTGATAGAACAAGTTGCCGGACTCGAGGATTACCGTGTCCTCCCCCTCTCTTCGGACCTCGGATAATCCAATAATATGCCAGCGCAACTTGTCTACCTCTTCTTCCAGCTCCAGTATCTTCTCGTCAGTCCTCAGGGTGCGTGCGTTATATGTTGCCAGGTCGAGTCGTCGTAGGTGGCAACCGAACCTCCACCGGAGATTCTTAGCACCCCCTGCCCCACCGTTACCATGGTCGCCACCGTAGCCAGGAATAACGGGGCCACCGCGGACGCTTGGCGAGCGGTTTGGCAACCGCCAAAATAAAATGTTGAACTCTTTTTAATATTCAAAGTTAATTAGAATTTTTTTGGATGTAGGCCATTGTAGGTACTTGTAAATACTAAACTTCCGTAAAAAAAAATTCTCTAAATGGCAGTGAAAAACATTTTAAAATCCGTTGCGTAGTTTAAAAGAAGTAAATGGTAGGTAAAGCGTTGTTTTGAAAAATCGAAAATTACCCATTCATTTATTTTATCTACAGTGTAGAGTACTTAACAGTCAATCAACCCGTAAAATAAAATGTCTTGTACAAACTGTAACACCTTATTTCATACTCTGAGGGTTTGAATTTTTCAAAATTCTATCTTGGTTAACGACTACGACAATAAAAGGAAGCTACGTTGTCATCATTTCATGCTCCTTCGGCTACCGCTTGTTCTTCACGTTCTTCGGCTGTCATATCAATATTTTTCATATACAATTTCCACCCTCGTTTTAAAGCCGGTTAGGTTTTGAAAAAATAAACAATTTTTATTTTATTGATTTAAATTCAAGAGGAAATAATATGCACCTAGTTTTAATTAAAATCATTAATTTTTCTCCATACAAGTTAAAGAACCTTATGGCCATCCGTAAGAGGTTGTCTTGAAACATCAGCAACAGATCAACAACAGAGAGTACTTTCAGTTATGTCTCGAGTCAATCGCTCCGTAAAATAAAAAGTTTCATAAAACGGTAACATGCTATTTCCCCCTTTTACCTTTACCGTTACAACCTAGGTCCACTCCTGAACATAGGCCACCCCCATAGATTGCCTCGTAGGGAGGATATTTGCCATAGCTGCCGCGCTAGGCAAGTGGGTTGACAACGGCAGTTTTTTGTTTTTAGTCATTATTAGAAAGACGCTGCTGCCCATCTCCTGATTTGTTTCCCTCTGTCGCCTCTACGGCACCCGCGGGATGATATGAGGTAGTGGATATTCTTGCACCACCACTGTACGGTAACGCCTCTCTTACTAAGGGTTGAATTTTCCGAAATTCCGAATTCCGAATTTATTAGTTTCGAATACTTAAGTCATAAAAGACAGTTACTGTCAGATTTCTACGTCTAGTTTTTTGGGATGTAGTTCATGGTTGTAAACACTATGGTTGCTCCCTGGTGATACTTCGTTTTGATCACAGACTCGAGGTATAGGTAACTTAAATAAAACCCACGAACTCAGAGTAATACAAAGGTTTTTTTTTAATTAAATCAATCACTTATCTTGACATAAATCAAATACTGTACAACGCCATCTATACGTCAACGTCTGAATTAATCTTAACAATGGTATAATAATTTTCATACAAAGTTTGCACCCCCTTTTTAAGAAGCTAAGGATAGATTTTCAAAGAAACTAAAAATGTGAAATTTGTTATTATTAATTCCAGTGTCTTTATAGTGTAAATCCGTATCAATTTATTTCACTTTTTTATAGAAAAAGGGTGACAAACGAGCACACAGTTCACCTGATGGTAAGTGGATGCTGTGGTTCATAGACATCTATATTTATCCTCAATTAAGAATCAAACTGCAGATGCGTTGTCATCCCCGAATACTAAGATGAAATGCCTCGTAAACAGTAAAGAATGTCCCCGGTTCTCTACACTCACCATACGAAACACAGCAACATTACGCTGCTATTTCAAGTTGTCATTCTGTGAGAGCGTGGTCCTTCCCCAGTCTGGCCTACCGACCCATTCGTGCTACAATCATAATATAGCTGCAGCATGACTAACGCGTAATATACAGATTAACTTTAGTAAGTTTCAATTCAATCGCCCCGTAAAATAATATGTTTCATACAAACTGTATCACCCTATTTATCGCCTCAGAGGTTGAATTTTCCTTGATCCTTTCTTAGTGGATGACTTTTTTTTAAATGCCTACGCATACCCGCTTCGCGTGGGCAAGGACACGTTATGTCGGACTCGTACCGACTAAAACTCTATCGTGTTCTACCTTCGCCGCATATTGGCAGGGCCAAGGGAACGCTTTCGTACACATCCGGGGCCCAACAGCGCTGGCTGTCCCATGGAGGCCCCTCCTCGGGAGAAGACCGATCCTCCCTCATCACCTTCACAGGTGAGGCGCACCAGGACACATGGTGCGCTCTCCTTCGCGGCCTCCAATTTCACATATGCAACAGACTCCCTCGTGTCCGATGCGCGAGGGCCATGGGGTCAGGAAAAACGAGCACTCAAAAGCACAAACCTTCATACCCCAGCGGTGGATCTAGTCTATAGCTCCGCCGCCAACCAAGATTCGGCTGCGGAGGGTAGGGAGAGCGGGGTCTTGCAATACAGACACTCCTCTCCCCCCGCGGCCTCACCACCACCGCATTAATTAACGGTGCGGCCCCTTCAGAGTTGCAGAAGATAGGGCGAGTGCCGCATCGCCATACCAACACTCCTCTTCATTCGCGACTCCACCTCGACTGCAGTAGTAGGGGGAGAGGGCACCCCTCTTACCGCAGCCCACCGTGTGGGCCGGCCCTACGCCTCGGGCCAGCCATGTGATCACTAACGGTGAACTAAGTGGAACCGACATTCCTGGCCCGAGGTGTGTATATACATATATAGTACGATTAAATAGTGTCTGCTTCGATATACATACTACATAGTAGTTACATTTAAATTGTTGCATCAACATGCACATTTAAATTATTTAGTTTAGTTCAAATATGGCCCCAATTTCATTTTTGCCCCGGGGCCCGTGGTTGCATAGCTACGCCATTGACTGTGCCATCTTAGTCTCTATCCTCCATCAAACGAAATTCCCTAAATATAATAAAATAATAAAAACCTAAACAGCTACTAAGAAAGTAAGTAGTTACCAGTAATAACAACGAACTAAAGCCTACGGATTACGGTGCGTCCGAAAAACTCCGTGGATTGCCGTCAGTTGAAAATTTCAACACTCACGACAAATTTTTGGATGTATTATTTTTTACGTCAGTTCAACTTATCATTTTAACTGACCGTTTGTGGGAACCATAAGTCAATGCTAAAAATGATTGTTAATGAAGCGGTAAGCAATAGCGGTAAGTGAAGGAAGAAATTTTTGTAGTTTTATTTCGAGTCGTTCGAAGTTTATTACTCAGGGCCATAAAGTAAGAAATCGATTTTTTTAATTAATTTACTTTGTATATGTATAATTTTTTCAAATGTCGTTCTGGAGGCTGAGGGGCCCCGGGGCACTGCCCCTCCTAGCCCCAAGGTAGCTACGCCACTGCATGTAACATAATTAACGCACGTCCTGAAAGTAGTTTGTTCAGAATCGTTTACTGAATCGATTTCACACACTGACTTTTTAGTTAAACATATTTATGCATTGATTATTTATTAAATTAGTTGTGCTAATTCCGGAATGTTGTGGTCACAGTATATATACACGAATACAAAGACTTTAACATGTTTCAAGCATAAGGTTAATTTTTCTTTATTTTGTATTGAATGACATAATTTGTATTAGTACAAATAAAACTGCTCTTCTAAAAGTCTTATTGCCTTGAGTAACGGTCCATTTCACACACTCACACTCACGCCTGTCACCCAGAGGGGTACTCTGGGTGACAGGCGTGAGTGTTTATGTATGTATGTAGTTGTGGGTTGAAGTCCCATATATTAAAAGAGATATAATAGTAAGGTCTTATGACACAAAAACATCGTTATAGAAGGCCTCTTTGATGCATAAGAATTACGATAGTAGAGTTGTGGACTGAAGTCCTATATATTAAAGACATGTAATAGTAAGGTCTATGAAATAAAGCAAAAATGTGGATGGTCTTAAATGTATAAAAGCATTATATTATATCATCTTAGTGCTGGTGGTAAGCGGGTTTGCTCGTGCTACGGCACGTGCACGGCTTCCCCGTGGACATCGCACACCCATACCATTTGTGGGCGGCGTCGTAGGAGTCGTAGCGTATAGCGATGCGTTGTCTTTCAAATTGGGATGAGTGTGTTTGGTAGCACTTTTATGTCTAACAAGCATACTCAACTTCATGTCTTAGTGCATTAGCGCTATGATACGTGGAGTTTTGTCCACTGGCGTCTGGCGCAGTTGTTTTTAGTTAAAAATAATATAAATTTTGTTACCAAAGTCGATAGGGATCATGTGGTGTGAGGGGGCGCCATCTGTATGATAGTTGCATTGATGCGTACTGCTACTTGCGGTATTGCGTCTTGTGATGGATCTGCGGATGTGCTGCGCCTGATTCTACACATTCTTGTTATTCTGGTCGATGGAGGTATGCGGGTTGTAATGCCTGCTGGAATGTATGGGGGACCGCCCGCCGATAGTAGCCGATGAT